TTCGCTTGATTGGCTAGCGTGTTCTTTATATGTATACGGTTTATGGCCTATGACAGATTTTCATGATCAATTTCCTCTTAGTCAAAAACCCGCAAAATACTTTACTGAGCCCTATCATGAAATGCTATGTTTGTCAGCTGCGGCGTTGGTAGCGGATTGAAGAGCGCTGATCACTTTAAAAGTCGACGTTTTTCTTTCTTCAAAAGATTATGCTAAAGTTAAGTAGATGAGTGTCCCACCACGCGTCAATGGCAAAAAAAATATACTTTATTAGATGTTTGGACGGCTACCACTACTCAACCCACCACTGGTACCACAGCTGACGCTCATGAAGCTTCATGACACAACTCCTAGAAGCATACCACAAGCTATCGACTGAGAGAAAATAGGTAATAAAAATTAGTGCCGGGCAATATGAATATATTGTGGTGTGATATGGTTTTCCTGTGCCCGGAGTAGTGCCGCGCAATTTGAAGTTAAAAATTGTGACAAAACTATGAATAATTTGAATAAAAAACCGAAGTAAAATGTTTGACTCCAGCTCCTTTCAACGCTCATAACTCAGTCCAGACTGAGATTTCCATATATAAGCCAATTTCGTTTGTAATGTCATTCTAGATAATATTTTCCATAAATCATCGACTGCCGCCAGAAAAAAGAAAGGCACCAATTTTAATCAATGCCCTTTCGGCAATAAAACTGGTTTAGGTGAAAAACTTGCCGAAACTATGATCGAAACTGAAAATTCGCGTGTTCTCGCATAACCAAAATCACGTAGTACACTATTGAAAACTGTAACTCCCGCAAAAGGATTTTCAGATCATAATATAGTTTTGTTAGTAGCATCGATTTTGTTATGCTTCAGGTCACCGAGCGCGTGTGTTCTTCTCCCCGGCCGCGGCGAGTGCGTGCGACGTGTGTCGCGCGTGGGCGCGCTGCGGGCGGGCGTGCGGCGCGCCCGCCAAGCAGCTGGGCGGCGCCGACACCGCGCCCGCCGCCGCGCACGCGCTGCGCCCCGCCGCCGCACTGCTGGCCGCCGCACTACTGGCCGCCGCACTACTGCTTCTATAGCCCACGGACCAACTCACCAGGACTAACACTATCTAGTTACAAGTGCTATTTATTGTGTGCAGTGCGCCAAGTGGAGTAAAATGTACAAAAGCAATACAAAGTGCTGTAGGTACCTACCGCCGACTAGTTATACATTGCTTCGTGATATGCGTAGTATTGAGGACATAAAGTATAGGAAATGAATAAAACGATTATTAGAGTTAACAAATTAAACTTCGGTTTATTGCACGAGTATCAAGTATTACAGAGACAAAAGGAATAGACAAGTTAGTTTTTTACAGTGACGCAGTATTGCTATAAACTGAACTACAGTGTTTTGAGTATGGGCGATGTTTACATTCTTCCAATATCCTCTCTTAAACATAAGCCCATCTTGGATGAACAATAAGACAGCTTGGAATATGTCGTTGCTTTTGTGAGAGCATCTGCAACCATCATATCAGTCTGTACATAGCGAACTTCAATTGTCCCTCCAAGTACTTTATCACGGACAAAGTGGTGTCTCACGTCGATGTGTTTCGTTCTGGAATGATAAGCATCAGTACCTGCAAGTTTTATACAACTTTGATTATCACTGTAAACAATCATACACTTATTCTTCATTTGTGGCCAAAAGCATTGTTGAAATTGCTTCAGCCACAAAGCTTCTTGCACACAGGATGACAATGACATGTACTCTGCTTCCGTTGTAGACAGAGCAACTGTAGGTTGTCGCCTTGAGTTCCAGCTGATCGCTCCTCCCTGAAAAAGGAATGCGTAACCGGTGCAGGACCGTCGATCATCCTCTGAACTAGCCCAGTCAGCATCGCAATAGCCATGTGCCATAGTTTCTTCAGAGTTCTGCTTATATCTCAGCCTGTAATCTTGAGTGCCTTTCAAATAACGCATGACGCGCTTAAGAGCAATCCAGTGCTGCATCTCAGGCTTGCTATTATATTTGCTTAACATATTAACAACAAAACTTATGTCAGGCCTGGTTACTTGTGAAATGTATAATAAGCACCCAATTATCTCTTGATATGGAAAATTTATGATATTTGTTTCCTCTAAATTTCCATTTCCATTCAATTTAGTGTTTGAATCCATCGGAGTTTTGACAGTCTTACAATTGGACATACCATATTTTTGTAATATATCCAGTATGTACTTTCTTTGATCCAAGTATAATTCTCCTCTCTTCCTATCTCGTTCCACATGAATACCGATGCAGTATCTCAAATCTCCAAAATCTTTAATTTTAAACTGTTTGTGTAACTGTTCTTTTATATAACTTTTTGTATCTTGGTTACTAGTAAATAATAACAGATCGTCCACATAGACAGCCATGAAAGTTATATTATTCTCATTTACAATTCTGAAGTAAATACAGGGATCTAGTTTAGATTGTGATAGGCCCATTTTTTTCATTGTAAAATCAATCTTTTTATTCCATTGCCTGCTGGCTTGTTTTAAACCATACAATGATTTCTTTAGTAAACATACATTTTCTTTTTGACCATTCTCATACATGGGTGGCTGTTTCATGTATATCTGTTCTTCTATGTCACCTTGTAAAAAAGCAGATTCCGCATCCATTTGACATATGTCTAAGTCATGTTTAACAGCCAAAGCAAACAAGTATCTCAATGATGCAAGCCTTACAACCGGTGAAAAAACCTCAGTGTAGTCAATTCCTGGTTTCTGAGAACAACCCTTTATTACGAGTCTTGCTTTGTATTTTACTATGTCTCCATTTTCGTCTGTCTTCGTCTTGAAAACCCATTTGCACGGTATGGAATGTTTATCATCTGGCAGTGTAGTAATTTCCCATGTATTATTGTTCAGTAGAGATTTGTACTCTTCATCCATTGCCTCCTTCCATTGTATAGCATTTGGACTTGATAATGCTTCTGTAACAGTCAGTGGATCTCGAACCTGCGTAACACACATTAAATTACCAACCTGTGTATTATGTTTCCTAGTATGTGACCTCAGTGTGATTTTTCTTGGAATATCATCATCATCATCGTCGTCATAGTCTGTATCAGGATAATATGTTTCATCATGAGTTCTCCTATTCATGGCACAACTATCAAATGAGGTATCATTACTCGATGAAGTGATTTCTTGTGTATCTGGTGAGCTATCATCAACAATTATAGAATTTTCGGGTTCTACTGACACATTCTGTGGGACCGATGTATCATTCTCTGTAGAAATTGAAACAGTAGTGTGTTTCCGAGTGATATTATCAGTGTCATCACATTTTTCGATAAATGTCACATCTCTACTAACCACAATTTTCCTATAAACTGGATCAAAGAATCTATATCCCTTTGTGTTTTCACAGTAGCCAACAAACACCAGTGGTTTTGATTTACGATCCCATTTTAAACGATTTTGTTTAGGGACATGTACCATGGCCTTAGAACCAAATATCTTTAAATGTGAAATGTTTGGTTTCTTACCAGTCCATTTTTCATATGGTGTTACCTCAGCCAGAACTCGTGATGGTGATCTGTTGATGACATATGCTGCTGTAGCCACTGCCTCAGCCCAAAAAGATTTCTGCAGTTTTGCTTCAAATAGCATGCACTTAGCACGCTCCACCAGCGTTCTGTTCATCCTCTCCGCTAACCCATTTTGCTCTGGTGTATACGGAGTGCTGGTCTGATGTTTGATGCCAGAAGCTGCTAGAAAATTAGACAATTCTTTATTACAAAATTCTTTTCCATTGTCGCTTCTAAGAATTTTTATTTTCTTTCCTAATTCATTCTCTACTTCAACTTTAAATTTTTCAAACACAGATTTAATATCCAATTTATTCTTTAGAAAGTATACATATACTTTGCGCGAGTAGTCATCTATGAAGGTTATGAAATACTTTCCACCACCAGCGGACAGAGTCTCCATCGGACCACATAGATCTGTATGAATTATCTCAAGTAATGCATTAGCTCTAGAACCAGAACTTGGAAACGGTAATCGTGTTTGTTTTGCTTCACAACACGGTATACAAATAGTATTATTTTCTTTGTTACTTATTGAAATACCCTCAGCACATAACTCTAACCTCTTAACATCAGCCATATTTAAATGGCCCATTCTTTTATGCCATGTAGTTAAATCTGACTTGTTTATCACAGCATATGCATTACCAGTAACAGTATTGAGTTTGTACATGTTATTGGTTAGTTTTGCCGTTGCTACTAAATTCTTATTAACATTGTAAATATTACATCCGGTGTCAGTGAATTCTACCTTACAGCCACTCTTTGTTAACTGACTGACCGATAATAGGTTTGCACTCAATTCAGGAATGAATAAAACTTTTCTCACCTGGATTTGACATTCATTTCTATTTAGCTCGGTTTGTATATTTACATTACCCATACTTTGCACGGAGACTGCTTCACTGTTCGCCACCATTATTTTCTGAATCGGAGGTGGTTGTTTATCATACATCCAGTCTGAGCGGCAGACAAGACTGTGATAAGTCCCAGTAATCCAAGCTCCGTGTAGCATTACTGTGGCTTCATAATATTTTGGCTTCTTTGTCAATTTTACGATAAAAACGAGCAACTTTCGAACGATGTTTGACGTGAATAAGTAGTACTTTTCGTAATATAATGAGCCTACTAAATAAACTAACGTAACTATAAACTGAATTTCACAATCGTTTTTAATAAATTCAATTATTGTTTAATGGATTTAAATAAAACATCTCATTTGTTACACTTACTTTATATAAATTCGTACAAATAAATAAATAAAATCAGTGGCATTTTGTTAAAATAGATTGTTACATGGATTGACTGTACATATAAATTATATATTTAAACGAAAAATAGCAATTAAATATTAAATTACATTAAAATATTAAAATGTGTGTGTTTTCCTTTCTACTTTTTTTTCTTTCCAATTTAGGTCCTTAACAAAGTGCACTTACAATTGAATTCATAGTCAATAAATCTATATTTCCATCTTCCTCATCATCCATTGGAAGAAGCCGAGGATTGAAAAAGACATGGTTAGAGGAACCGCTGATGCTTTGATCCACGCCCATAAACTGAGAATAGAGAATAAAATTTACAAATTAGTCAAGGAGTCGTTTGTTTGTGAGTTTGTAAATTTGTACGAGTGTGTGAATTTCTTTAGTTGAGTTTAGTAATGTAACGAATATTCGCTAATTTTTTTTAATTTGCATTCGCAATTTTTTATGCGAACATAGGTATATTGCAAATGTGACCATCATAAAAATCATTTTTAATTACAAAAACCTACATTTGTTAGAGGAATACGTATTAATTTATGAATTTGTCTATGAACTTCTTGGGAAGTGTTTGTTTGTGAGTTTATAAACACAGGAAAAATTACCAAATTACTGAACTGAACATCACATCATCACATGGCTAACATCACGCTACGGTCAAGAGGAGCTAAGCAGTAAATCGTCGGCCCATCAAATATAAAAATAACCAGACATAGTCACTAGTATGAAAACAAAAAAAAACTTACTCATAAGGGTCATCAGAAATGTAGTAAGGCTCAAGGGTTGGCACCAAGCCGCAGTCTGAGATATACACGTGCAGTAGTGGCCTGTCGTCAACGTCAGTAGGGGTGTGCTCCAACATATGCACCACGTTTTGGCCGTCCACCACCTGCAAACAATATATCAAATTCAATAACAACACATAATGTTACACTACTTTATATCAGGAGATATAATTATGTTGGCGTTACTTGTAGGTAGCAGTAAAATAATAAACTCTTAGGAATTTAATTACTTATTGTTTACTTTCTACATTGCTCTTCTCTACTCGTCAACAAACTAGAGGAGGCCAGCATTTTCTACGGACTACTCTGAGAAGTAACACTGAAACAAAGTGCACGGTTGCCCCACGGAACAACTCTTTGTGCGTTCCACAGATTATTGTTCCGGGTCTGGGTGTCATGTGTATATGGAATTTTATGTTCACCCACAACACAGGGGAAAATCATAGTGCAGGGCAACGTGTTTTCAAAATAAAAAAAAATCAGAGGTCATGGTCCCTAGTCAAGTGCAGACTAGATTTAATCAAGTAGATACCCACATCAAAAATTAATAAATTTAATCTCAAACTTAACGACTGCTTCGTTGGCCGAGTGGTCGCAAGTGCGAGTGTCGGGAAAAGGGGTTTCAGAGTCGATTCCCGGGTCGGGCAAAGTATTACTGAGTTTTTTACAAATATTTCCCAGTAGTAGCACGGAGTCTGGAATTATGCCCGGTGTATGGCAATAGGCTCACCCCCTATTACATGGGACTCATAACATAAATAGTAAAAAGTGGGTATATTATACAGTGCCATTAAATGCCGTAATGTGCACCTCTAGCTACCCCTTCGAGGATAAAAGGCGGGATGATATGTTATGTTCTAACTTAATATCAAAATAACACGACAAGTACAAGAACAAACAAAAAACAAAAACAAAAAAGAAACGAAATAGAAAATACCTCTTTCTCTTTCGTTTCTTTTTTGTTTATATGTTTTTAATAGCAATGTTTTATGAAATATAGTACAAAGAAATCTGCTTACCTTTCCGACTACTGTATGCAAATGATCTAACCAAGGTGTTCCTGTGGTAGTGATAATAAATTGACAGCCATTTGTGTCGGGACCTGGAAATGTGGTACCCATTAAAACAGGAAGTTTTTAACACTCTCTTCAAATACAAGTTTATATGCTATCTACATTAAGGATAAAGAATATTTTCAACCGACTTCAAAAAAAAGGAGGGAGGTTCTCAATTCTTGTTTCAGATTTCAAGCGACATTACCGAAACACGCATAGTAGTAAGCGTAGACAACGACTTCTGTGAAAATGAAATACCACCACCAGGAATGTCGATAAAGAAGAACAATAAATACATTTAAATTTGAATAACAGCCCGGCGATACTATACCGGACCTTTAATAAGATATAAACAATACCTTTATTAGCCATTGACACAAATCCAGCGCCACTATGTTGTGTCTCCAAATTCTCATCATGAAATGTTTCGCCATAAATGCTGATAGAGCCGGTTCCATCATCAGCCTCTACATCACCACCTGTCACCAAAAATATACAATTGTTTTATTAAAGATAGTGGCTCCAAGCAAGGGGTTACAGTCACAATATAGTTTAACTCGTCGAGTACCGGTTTTGTAGACACAATTATAGAACAATAGGTTGCGGTCACCGGTGACCGCTTGGTGTTTGACAGTTTTTAATTTTATTGTGCCTGGTGTATTACATCAGTCTTCTCTATTACTTTACATAGAACTGTTAACATTGCTAATGAATAGGTGGACTGTCATAATGTGCAAACTCTTTTAGAAATTAAAAGGTGTAATACCATGGAGAAAATTAGGTGACACTAAAAAACTTGGAATCAGATATTATTTCGTACAATGGACTGTTTATCCTACAATAAATTGTAGAAGAAATTAATCTATAGATATTTGAACTTTATTTATTTCTACTACCCTTTCATTTAGTTACATAAATGTTTTTAAATAAAATTAGTAACTGAGGATCAGTTATTGGACTACACAACACAAAAATGAAATTAATTGAATTTGTATCTCACCTTGTACCATAAATCGTTTGATTATTCTATTAAATGAGGTGCCCTTGTAAGACTTCCCATTTATACCTTTTGAGGCTAAAACTTTGAAGTTTTTGACAGCCTTTGGGGCAAGGTCGCCGAATAGGCCTATCACTACTCGACCAAGAACTTTATCTTCACTAGTGATTTCAAAAAACACTTGGTCCGTAACACGAAATTGTCTGGCCTGAAAATAAAAACACAATTTCTAATCTAGTTAAATAGTTACACACTGATAATAATGAAAATTTTATGTTAAATTACATTTCATAATTACTTACATCAATGAAAATAAGATGACTAGATACAATAAGTAAAAATATTAATGAATTATGGAAATCCATTTCACAAGAATTATGTTTTAATAATTTCCACTTTTTCTTATGTCCATTCCATAGGAACTTTCCTGCTTCACTGACTTATTGCTTAATTAGATATAGCTAGCTGTTTGAATGAAGCCCCTCAGCTGCATGGCATGGTTCAACTAACCACCTTTATTTCATCACTTTGGGGTATTTAAGGTGGAAATTCAAATCAATATGATTTCAAAACTACCTTCACATCTTTAATTCTAAACTAAAGATATCATTTACCAGAAATAATAGGTGTTCAAAATTATGAATGTCTATGTTTTTGTTGTCACTCATTAGTACTTTGCTCTGTAATATTTTCATGAACAACCTTTTTAGTCTTTGTATGAAGAGCTAAATGTTTTGTATGAGATTTTATATGTGATTTCAATTTGTCAGTCCGGCTAAATTCCTTCTTGCAATCCAAAGCATCTTTGAAGGGACATTTCAACATTTTCTTTGCTTGATGTAATTTCATATGCCTTTGAAGCAAATCTTGCCTTTTGAATGTATACTTGCAAACTGAACACTTGAACTGCCTATTGCCATGTTTCAGCATGTGTGTTGATAAGTATTTCTTCATGTGGAAACTACTGTTACAAATGTTACACTGAAATGGTTTCAGTGTCCTATGTATTTGTAGATGCAAGCGTAATCTCTTATCACTTGCAAATGTTTTATTGCAATGAATGCATATCTTGTTATGATTTTCTGTCAATAAATGAAGAGCCAGTTTTTCAGATTTCCTAAATCTAGCATCACATTGTGAGCATTTATATACTTTTGGCTTGTTTTGGCTATCTTTGCATCCATCATTATCACTCTGCAGGTGTACAGCAATATTTTCCAAGGTATTGAAAGTAGAATGACACAGATGACAAATATAAACAGGTCTCTCATGTTCAACAGACACATGATGCAGTAAACTATCAACTGTCTCAAAAAACTCTAAACACTCTCCTTGTATGCACTTATATTTCTTTAGAGATAAATGATTTTTGAGGTGAGCCCTATATTGACTGTAATTTAGTAAAATCAAGTTGCAATATGAACATGTGTAACTTAGAAGTTCTTCTTCAAGAGTTTGTGCTGTGGTCTCCCTTAGACAATCTGGCCATATTCTGTGAGAAGTAATGTGTCTTTGTAAATGTGAATTTTGAATAAAACATCTACCACAGATAGGACACTGGTATGGCTTTTCGCAATGTGTTTTCATGTGAGCCATTAAGGTTCTGACTTTTTTGAATTTCTTCTTGCAAGTACTACAAGTGAGATCCTCAGGCCATGTCTGGTCCGCCACTGGCAGTGGATCAGGTAATACTTCGCTTTGATGCAAAGTCGGAATGTTCTCAGGAAAAGGTTCACCAAGAGCTGGCTGCACCAATTCAACATTCGAATATCTTCCTTCTAAAACGATATTGCTACATTTTGATTTTTTATGGTCAAGAAATATTTGTAAGGAGTTAAATACAGTTTTACAATTCCCGCAAACAAAAATATCTTCATCAATTGAATCCAAAACTACAACATGAGCCATGACTAAGGTTTACTGTTTTGTTTTGTGATAAATATCTATTGAGGTATAATAAATAAATATTAATAAATTAAAGAAAAATATTAAAAATATTGATAAATATATAAACACAACACATCTGTCAACAATAGACTCTTTGTGTCAAACTGTCAAGTGTCAAATGTCAATCTTCAACCTAGTTATCTTGGGCTGAATGAAGTTTTTCCATTTATCCCGAAAACCCAAAAACAAAACATTTTTTGAAGCAAAATAGTGGACGAAACGTTCGTTGTCGTAATCTTTATTTCCTCCCAATCCTCCTGGATCTTTTCGCAATAGTATGAAATAATTTTTGACTTCTTGTGCTAATAATATTCCTCAGCTCAAGAAGTCAAAAACTAATCAAAACAGTAAGGAAGTAAAAGAATAATAAAAATTATTGCATTTTTCAGCTTGCCTATTAATCATTAGAACGAATGAGGGCGCCACAGTCATTCACGTAGCAACCCCTACAGAGTGAACATACGTTGATACTAGCGCATTATTTTACACTAGAATTAAACATGAATATTATGAAGGAAATATGAGGGATTCCCCGAAAACTTTTCAGGTTGAAAACTTTTCTGGTCGAACTAAAAGTCGATCACATAAATTATGCTCAATGCTGATGATGATGACATTCAATGTACTTTCATTGAGTGTTCCCTTCGTGTAACAACCATGTAACAGCTATAATAGTTACGCAAATGCGCAAAACATTTTCGTGCTTGAATAGACGAGTATCTGTGGTCCTTTGCGTCTTTTCCTGACAGTGACAACAGTCATTGTATGTCAGTTCAGTGTCATGATTTGCCCTGCTTTTGTTCAACACTGTTGATGTTGATTGGTTTTGACTGATTGTTAATGGACATCTGTTATTTTTTGTGAAATTATTAGTGTTTCACTTCATATAACACGTAAGTATACATTAGATTAGAACATTATTAAACTTATGTTGTACTTATTATGGCTCTCAGTTTGAGTGTTCTAGAAGTTACTGTTAATAAAATCCCCTTATTTTCAGGTTAAAATGACTGTAAACAATACTATAGCACATCAGCGATTGGTTTTAACCGGAGACAGGGAAAGGTAAGAATTGTACATAATATTTATGTATAAACCTAACGTACAGTTTTGTTGGTGACTTAACTAAAATGGTTTTATGATTTCATGTAAAAATATACTTAATATACATTTTGTGTAACCAGTAATGGAAAAAGTGCAATCTCCAATATGCTTGCTAATCAATTGTTGATGACTATATTGATAAACCTACAGTTTGCTAGAATATAGACATAAGCAAATCCTTATGGGACAGACATCCTACATCGTAGACTGCATCATTGCTTAACACCAGGCGAGATTTTGCAAAAACATCGACCCATCAAATATGAAAAAAAATATATATTTTCTATTGACATATTATAACCTCTTTCTGTCTTGTAGATCTAGAGTTAAAACTACACAAAATACCACCACCAGAACTAACATAATGTTTGTAATTTCCTGTTAATTCCATGAATGCAATCTCATATCAGTTTCACATTTCAATATTGTTTTTGCAGATTCAAAGAGCTTCTAAGAAGAAGATTGATTGAATGCGGCTGGAGAGACCAAGTTAGAATGCTCTGCCGAGATGTAGTCAAAGAAAATGAAAGTAATAACATCACATTTGACATGCTAGCAGCCAGGGTTACTCCTCGTGCACGAGCATTAGTTCCTGACACTGTGAAAAAAGAACTTCTTCAGAAAATTAAAACTCATCTACTCACGCAAAAAGACCAATAGGAAGCTCTCCTTAGGTTTCATATTATTTTAAGTAGCTCTTCTCATTTTATCAATTCCTTAAATAATAAGATCATATTTTTATTTGCTTAGTTTATCATAAGGTCTATCGTAAGGTCTATATTTAATTTGATCAAGTTTGATTAAGTCATTATATTTTTGAATGATCATTTGAATATTCACAATGTTGGTACTTGGAACACTCCTGTGACATTTTGTTGAATGCAACAATAAAAACTTCAATTTACAACCAACAGTATATTTTATTTTATAAACATTTATTATACATTCAGGTTAAACAAAAATATATATATTGCTTATACATAATACTGCCAAGATTCCATTTAAAATAAAGAAAATTGCCTTGAAAATCTTGTCATGGACATTTTATTACAACAGTTATGTAATTCAAGATCTTATTTTAGAGACCATCTTTTGATATTCTTTTAATATAAAATAATGCTGCCCAGATACACTTTCTAAACAAACATATATGCTTAAAATCATATGTACCAAATATATACACAAAACTATATAAAAACATGGCTTACTACAATAAATACATTTTATATTGGGCATTGTTTTACAAAGTAAACTCTTAAAATAATATCACACCTGAAGAGAAGCAAGTATGGCTTTAACTTAGCTAAACATGTTCATCAGTAAGGGAAACCAAAAACAACTGAACAAAGATATACAAATTACACAAATGCATTACAGAGCTGTCATAGTTCAATATAAAAATATTTTGAGCAAATAAAATTATGCTTATTTTTCTAAAGGTAATCCCAATACCTATAATAAAATTCAGTTAAGAATAGACACTACAAACATTATTGAGAGTTGGACAACACTGTTACTGTGAGAGCAAATTACTAGTTTCAAGTGCTAATGTACTTGTATTTTATTATTACAACGATAATACCTTTTGTCATTTTGGCAATCATATTATAAGAAATAGTTTCAATAGGGTTTATAACATTGAGCACAAAAAAGGACGAAATTAGGTAAATACAGTAATGTATTTCATCTACTGAAATAGACACTCCTTTTGAACTAGCCATGCTAGCTTTGTTTTACATTTCAATTAATACTACGAATGTAATAGCATAGACAATCATTATATTTTTAATGCACTATTTCCATCACCATATAGCATGCCACAAATGCATTCTAATCAACAAACATTCACACAACTTAGGTGTAAGTGTAAACTACGGACTTTATAAAGAAACCCCTTCAGTTCTAAATAAATGTATACAGCTCGAGAGGGAAACGATATATAAATGCATTTAATGTGAAGAAACATCTAATTGAAGATTATGAGCAATAAATTTTCTTAGTATAAATATCCTTAAAGCTCTTTGATACCTGATCTAAAATTTGGTAATACACAATTATTACACATTATTTTATGTACAAAGTTATACAAATGGAATGTATTTTGGACTCAGTTTATACCTTTGATCAAGTACAATTCATTTGATTATGTATAACTTAATAATGTAGCCATAACAATATTCAGTACTCTCTTATTATTTTAAAGTTAAAACTAATTATTTAATATATTTCTACTTACACATCAAGTAATTGATCAATCCATTTACACAATACTGCTGATTTACTAATGAGCAATTAAATAATCGGAATTAATTACTGTAACGCCTGTACAAGCATTTTATAATGGCTATTCACAAAATAATTACAGTATGTACACAGCACACCTTGCCTTTATGAAATATCGAAAACGAGACGAACCTTGTTATGCCGTGGTCTACAATAATAAATAAATAAACATACATACATACATAGTTACTGAAGTTAATTACGTAATAACTTGACCACGTGACAGTTACCCGTGTACCACTGGACACGAACATAGTCCACTGTTGTTTAATTTAGCTACAAATGAAGGATAGGGAAATTTACGTATTTACGAATATATTTAACTATTTATGCTACTATTTGTCAATTGGCTATAAATAGTCGGTCCTCCCTAAAATTATAGGATTGGATATATTTTGTGCTCTAAGCATAATTATAACAACAATAATACAAACACAGCTACATGAGACATGACCAGCAGTTACGTAATTTATCGCGTTTGTAACATTCAAGTATACAACATTGGCTTTTTAATCGTGTAGGTACTTACGTACTAAACATAATCTCAGTTTTATATTTACCGTAGTACTATCTGGCAAGTTTAAATTCAGTTTCACAAGAATAGCAAATGCAGGCAAACGTAAACCTATACAGTATACTTATTGTATAATCAGATTTATGCAAAATCATGTCTTTCAAAGTAAAATAAACACAATTTAGAAAATAACTGCCATAGATATTATGTAATTTAATTAACTAATAACATCTTTTATCTAAGAGATTCATCTATCCGTAGGAACATATTTTTTCTAATGTACCTTAGAAATACTCAGCTGCAATATTTTAATCACCTACTAAAACTTGTAAATAAAGATCTGAAGCTAACTCATAAAATAGACATTCAATAACATTTCATTAACAAAATGTGGCGTCAACATCACATAATAAAATTTCGAGATAAACAACACAACAGATCAGCGAATATCGGCTATTCACAACCCGCGCATAACATGCGCTCAATTTTGATACCTTTGGCTCCTCGCTCGCGTCGAGACGGCAGTCACGAGATTCAATATTGGCGAAGATAAATAGCAGATCCTCGACATGATTGTGTAAGTGGAGACCAATCGCACCACTCACCACCGATCGATATATACATAATTTTAATAAAATCTATTACACCCGCCCTAATTACATAGGTTGAACATTTACTTAGATTACGTTGGCCGTCGACGACGTACGTCAGTCGTGGCCAAGGATACGAGCATTCTATTCTGAAATAAAAGAAGAGCTTTTGTTTGTACCTGCAAGCTCAGCTCTCCCATTAGGCAGACTATTTGTTTGTGCTTACATGGACTTCGTCGAGTCTCAATTACAGAGTGGGCGCGTGGTGTTGATTGTGCAGGGCTGGCACGGGCAGCGCGGGCACGGGCAGGGCGGCCGCATGCCGGGCCAGCGGGGGCAGGGCTTCCGCGTGCCGGGCTGGCGGAGACAGGGCTGCCGCGTGCCGGGCCGGCGGGGGCTAGGTGTGCGCCGCCAGTCGCGCCAGGGGCGGCGCGCGCCGCTGCCGGGCTGCAGGCGCTCGCGCTACTAGCACCAGGGACGACGCCAGTGCTAACCGCACGGGTACACGGGACCCTCCAGGCAGTCTACATAGTGATAATCGGTTAGCTATTGAACCACTAAATATAATTAATACTTTTCTAAGTTGTACAATTATCAACTACAACTTACTTCACGAGAACAGATGTGACAGCGGCACGGCCATCGCCAGTGGGCTCGATAGCGACGGGTCGCAGGTCAGGCGCCCGACGACGGCGGGGGCCTGCTGACGTCACGCCACCGCTTAGTACCACCGTCACCGCAGCGAATGGTCGCTTTGCCATGTGCAGCATCTGCATAGAATAGATTGATATCAATTATGCACCATACGTAAAAGAACAGATAATAAATCACATGTCATTAAACGGTTACCTCAACAACGTGTCTCCGTCGCGCCCGGCGAACATCGGCAGCTTGTTTAGCTTTCCATGCCACCACGCATGCGGCCAGGAACAGGAAGAAGCAAGAAAAGAACACGGAGAAGAACACGAACAGGTCTATGTGCAGCTGGTCTTGGCGGAAGAAGATAACTCCGAAGCTGGCGGCACCGTCTTCGGTGTGGCGGGCACGGACTACGATGTAGAACTTGGTGTGTGTGAGATCGTGCACGTTTTGGGGGAGAGTGAGCACAAGACGGTTGCGGAGGTTTCTGACGCGGAGTAAGATATTCCTGCGGTCCACCGTGACGTATGTCGCCAGGTCCTTCGCTGTGTAGTCTGCCAGAGTGTACTCCACTTTATCATAGTACCAGGTGACGCGTGGTTCCTCGGGCACGTGGTCATCGAACGACGGCACTCGTCGACTCGGCTCATGTTTGTGATACGTGGGGTCCAACTCCACCGAGTGGTCTCCATTACTAGAGTTCACTGACACTACAAACGAACTGTCGTTTGGACTGAGGTAGAGGTCCACTGCACCCTGCGTCACGTCTACTATCACTCGTATGTCTACGTTCATGTATCTCGGATTGACCGCCACGAAAACTGTCTGACCAGGGTACAGAGGGCGTGGCTTAATTTTGCACTCATCTGGAAATTAAATAATCATGTAGTGAGTTCTTTAAAATGTGTATAGAATTAGATCTACTGTGGTAAATACATACCAATTGATTTTCCATCAAAGCAAAGTTTGTTTTCTATATTGATAGTCTTGTAACACTGGTGTCCGTTCCTAGGGTCGCCCATGTAGAGGTCCTTACATTTGACACACTGGTAGCGCCAGCACTCCTGCGCCGAGTTCTTACTGGAGCTGGTCGTCTGGCAAGATATGTCACTCTCTGTGTTGTTGCCACAGTTACATTTCTCTCCCGTTACTGGGTCACAGGTGTCGCCGTGTCCGTGACATTCACACCTGGAACAGTCGAGTCATTGTATGAAACCATTTATCAAAGATGTAAATAAGCTTTATATCTAAGACTACTGACTATGGTACTTACGGTCTGCAAGGGTCTCTAAAGTCATCGGAGCCCCTGAAGTATCCTTCAATACACCTCTCACAGCGAGGCCCGTCTGTATTGTTGGCACAGCGTACACAGCGTGCCTTGGCGCTGCCGTCCCGGTAGTCGTCCGGCTCGGCCGGCCCGCCCAGCTCGCGGACCGGTGTCACGTCCACCTCGCTCGTACATATAGACGTGTGGCCGTGACAGTACGTAGAGCACGGCACGCACTGTACGTTGTTCACTGGGTCGCCCACGAAGTTTGGCTTACATTTTTCACATTGATCACCCTATAAAGGAATGCCACGTTAATAAAAAGTTTAAAGAAGAAGACTAATTATTTAGTGAGGTGGAAGACTTACCATGGTGTTGTTATGGCACTCGATACACTTGTCGAGTTTGTCGGGTCCCTCGCAGTCGGAGTGTCCGTTACACTGGCACTGTATGGTACAGTTGGCGCCCACGTACCCGAACTCACAGCGACACACGTCGGGCTGCACGCAGGCGCCGCGCACGCAGCCCTGCGAGCACACGGCCACGCAGCCCGTACATTGACAACCGTGCGCTTGCGGCGCCCGCCCCGCCCGCACCGCCCGCCGCGCGCTTGTGGCCCGCGCCGCAAGCGCACTCGTAGCCCTCGGGTAAATCACGACAAACCTGCAACCCAATGAAGACGGTATTATAACAATTCAACAATTTTTTTTTATTTAGCAGACTTACACGTAAGAAAAACAAAAATATAACCTCAGATTCTGCTTTGCACTGGTGGTGGTTATTCTCGCATTCGTTCTCGGGCGGGCAGCGCGTGTAGTGCCACGAGAAGGTGTCGTTGGAGTAGTCGTCGTGGTTGGCGGCGGAGTAGACGGCGGCGCAGGTGGTGCGCGTGGAGTAGTCGAGCGGCGAGTCGATGGAGCCCTCGGAGCAGACGCCGCGGCCGTTGGCGCCGGCCAGCGCGCACCAGCCGCAGTGCGAGTGGTGCAGGCAGTCGGCGCACTGCTCGAAGGTGGCGCAGGGCGCCGGGCACTTGCTGCGGCCGCCGCGCGCCAGCACCAGGCCGCAGACGCCGCCCGCGCAGTACACGGGCTGGTAGGCCGGCGAGATGCACTTGCCCAGGTACGTCGCCCAGCGACACTCCGCGAACCCTCCCTCGCCGCCGTCCGTGCTCAGGCACGACTGGCAGTCGTCGAACATGGTGCACCGGCTCGGACACTCCTCGCTCTTGGTCGCTCGTAGACTGGTGCGACCTGGCTCCTCTATAGACGCACACGTCCAGTTGAACAGTTCCATGGATTCATCTGCTATTCTTGTTAATTGACCTAGAAAAGAAAAAAATTCATATATTGGTTGTTATTGTTTTCACACCTTGAATAGTTGTTGTTGCTGCGAATACCGGCTTACCTTCTCTCACAGCATGTCTAGTCCAAGTGCATTCTTTAGAAACACATTTTTCACAGTCAGATGATGCACATCTGAGTTCGGGACAGTTACCCACGTCACTGATGTAGGTAGTGCCAGCGTTACATTTCATACTGGTACAGGATTCGTCCGTGGGCACACATTCACCTAAAATAAATGAAATTGAGATAATAAAACAACGGAGTTGTCATGCTCACTCAAAGATCTCATTGGCGGTGGCACGTGCATTGGATCGCTCATGTCGGAATACTGACACGTTACTCACTTTAAGTCGCACTTAAGTATAGTTCTGTCACAACTAATTCTATGTGAAATGATAGAGATAGCACGATATTTAAGCACGACTTAAAATTGAGTAACGTTTCAGTATTCCGGCATCAATTCCGTACAAAATGGTCGAGTTGGGCGGTGCTAGGGTCATGTTCGTGAACGGGCGCCGTCAATTGGGGCTGGTCAGCTCCAGACTGTATGATATTATTGTCCTCAAGGTTATTTTCTTTTTCAATCTCTTTGACTGGATTTAGGTATTGCATTGTTCTCACACAATCGAACACACAAAACTATGTAACTAGAGAATTGTATTGTAAACCGATTGAAAAAGAGTAACCTATGGAGTTCTTGCTCGTTACTTTCCATAGGAATCTACACTTTGGAATGAGCAACTAGCTTCACTTCAAAATATTTGTTATTGACGTTCAAATGTGCCTTCTTGGTCTAATTGAAATAAATTATTTTGACTTTCGACTTTGAATAAAAACTAAACATTTAAAGAGATAAAACCCAAAAGTGCGATTAAAGAGGCAACATAATATGTGAATGTTTAGCTCGACATGTGTAACACCCTCTCTAGTATTCTATGGGACTCTTAAGTGAGTTGCGGGCAACAGTTTTATAATGAAGTAGGAATAATTTACAGTACTAGTATACGTACCGACAGCTGCAGCGCATGACTCGCACCAGCGACAGGCGGGCTTGTCCTCCGGGTACATGGGCCAGGCCGCCAGACACGACGTACAAGTCGTGAAGTTCTCGCAGGCGCGCGTGGCCACCAGCTCCGAGTCACACGCGGCGCCCGGGTTCACCGCCACACTGTCACTGCCCTCACAGCCAGGCTTATCCACCGAGAAACACTTCGTATAATTCCCAGTACTACAGAAACTACACCCCATATGACTGCGACACTCGAACTTGTTGGAACTCCATAGCGAACACAGGTCTTCAGGCAAAGAGATGCGGGTAACTTGACAGTGAGCGCTACCCGTCCAACCGCCTATGATATAGATGTAGCCTTCGTTTTCTGTGTCTATGTCTATTGCCATGGCGTGGGCAATCGTGGGCGGAGGCGGGTGACCGACGATACTTACACCTGCAATAATAGGTATTATTATTAAAAAGTCGCAGTTATTTATTTACAGAAAGAGTTGATTATGAATAATACAATACGCACCTTTAACAAGTCGAACCCATTGGTTGCAGCTGTAGATGTACGCTATAAGAGAGTCAGATCTATTTTCTGGATCAGTCCTTCCTCCGAAAATAATCATGTAATCATTGGTAGTGACTGCCGAGTGCAAGTATGTGGCTTGTGGCAAGTTGTCGTAATAGTTGTTCAATATCGGGAATGTTGGCAGTTCACTCCACTGCTTTGTAGGGTAGTGGAACGAAAACAGCTTGTTAGATAACATAGTGCCGTTGTATGAGTATAAGATCCCACCGTACACATACAGACTCTGGGATGGCGCATGGTAAATAGTGCTATGGCCAATTATTCCTGAAGGTTTCGCACCTCCATCCTTCAATTTAATCCATTTCTCATTGTCCAGATCAAATTCCCATACATCAAACATGAAACCTTCTTCGAGAGAAAATCCGCCAATCAAAACCAAACTTTCATAGTCTAAATACTTCTGTAGAGTTAGCGTATGCCCGGCCAGTGCAGGTGGCTGTCCGTCTTTGTCTTTATCCTTGCCCCGAATGTTGCTCCACCTCTGGTCTTTCAAGCTAAACTGCCAAAAGTCTCCGAGCGTCTTGTTCTGTCCGCTCTTCTCTTGCAAACTCAAACCTCCATAAATATAAATATTTTGTTTCGAGTGATAAATCTCAGCTGCATGAAAATATCGACCTTCTGGCATCTTAGCGTCTGGCGTAGCTTCCACAGTAACTTGCATCCAGGTGTTGTTTTTCGTATCGAAGAATCTGATGTCGTTTAATGGACCGTGTGAAAGAGAGTAGCCGCCGAACATCCAAAGCCCGCGTCTATCGGCAACTAAACTATGGCCAAATCTAGGGAGTGTTTTCCTCAAGTGATCTAAACCTTCAGATAAATATTCGGAGTTAAATAGCTCAGTGAACACAAGCTGTGTTTTATCGAGTCTGATGGAGCAGTCATCGCCTCCGAAACCTTCATTACATAGACATCTCCCGTAGCTAGCGTCACAGAGCCCGGCGCCGGCCGCCACGCTGCAGTTGTTGCGACAGATCTCGTAGTCACAGTGGGGCCCGCCGTACCCCTCGCGACACGCGCAGTGCCGCTTGGTGCACTCCCTGGGCCACGAGCAGTGGCCGTCGCAAGCCAACACCTTGTAGCTGCCCTCGAAGCCTTGCTCCGGCTGCCCTTGTTTGTAGTGGACCGTCAGGTTACCACTGCGAGCCTCTATCACTCCTGATGAAGCACCATTGCAGAATACTCCGAGCAACTGACTCTGTTGATTATTGCTCAAGTCAGGTACGCCACCCAGACCGTCGTAAACGTACACAGCATTCTCATCACAGGGAACATCGAAAGTAGAGGAATTTATAGTGAACTGAATGATTGCGTCCTTGATATCGTCAGCAGATATTATCCATAAACACTCCTTCGAAGGTCCAATTGTTTTTATATCAGGGTCTGTTTTGTAGGAGCCAATTCCTTCAGTTTGTGTTGCATTTAACATGCCTCTAGGTTCACATTGGTAGTAACATTTGCCACCATGCCTGGGATCGCCATAAAACTTAGGTTTACAACGTTCACAATTCAAGCCTTCGGTGTTATCTTTGCAAATACACTCTCCAGTAGCAACGTCACAGACGCCGCGTGTCTCATCACCATGGTCATTACAGTCACACCTGCGACACCCTTGCCCCGTCGTAGCATTGCCGTGACTGCCCGGCTTACAAGACTCACAGAACTCTCCCTCCGTCCAGTCCTGACACTCATCACAGCGCCCCACGCCCAGCCTACACGTCGAGTGATTATGACAGCCACAGTTTATCGAACAGTCTGCTCCCGTCCAGCCCAAATCACAGTTACACTTGTATTGAGGAGATCCGAGACAATAGCCATGGATACAGTTATTGTAACAGGTGCGCATACAACTCTTCTTGCCGTCGCCAATGTATCCCTGCTTACATTTACACGTGTAGGAGCCGTGGGTGTTGTTACAGATGGCGTGCTCGTGGCAGTCGTGCAGCCCCAGGCCGCACTCGTCCACGTCGGGGCACTGCGCGTAGGCCCAGCCCGCGTCGCTGGTGGTGACGTTGAGCACGGCGGCGCAGTCTGCGTGCGAGCGCGTGAAGTCGCCCTCGGTGCAGGCGCCGTTGATGGGGTTGTCGTGCGAGTAGCACCAGCCGCAGCCCATGCTGCGCAGGCAGGCCGCGCACTGCGCGTGGCGCCGGCACGACTTGCACTGGCCGGCCTTGCGCGCCGCGTCGTCGGGCGGCGAGGACGCGCGGTCCAGCCACTCGCGACACAGGCCGAACTGGTACTCGCTGGTGTAGACGCTGAAGCTGAAGCACTGTCGCGTGGCCTCGCACCAGACGCAGCGGCCGCGCTCGTCGAGGCAGTGCTCGCAGTCGGCCCGCAGGCGGCAGGGCGCGGGGCAGGCGTCGCGCGACGAGATGGCCCCGGCGGCGCGGCCGCGGCGCGCGCAGCGGGCCTCGTCGGCCCACCACTCGCAGTAGTTGCCGCCCACGCAGCGCTCGCAGCTGATGTAGTTGGAGCAGTTGGGGCAGGCGGCGGGCTGCAGCGTGAGGTAGCGCCACTGGCCGCCGGCGCTGCAGACGACGCGCTCGTCCACGTGGCGCGCCTCGCAGCGCCCGCTGAGCTCGCACCAGCCGCACGCCGCGTCCGACAGGCACAGCAGGCAGTTGTCGTAGTTGCACTGACCGTCGGAGTACGGCTCCAGGAACTCAAATGTAAACACCTACAACAATATTTTCAATTATTAACAATGTAACTTGGACATTATAGTCTAAATAGGACCTTCGTAAAATAACGTGTATCACTGATAAAATAAAACTTACCTTTGCACTTTCCTGAGATTTATTGTGAAGTAGTTCCATTTTAGCACGATGATGTGAAGGATATAACCCAGTATGTAAAGAGTCATTGGCGTGCATGTCGACTGCGAGGCGACCTGGGAACAGCGCGGGCCAGTCTACTAGAGAACAAGCTGATGGCTGTGCTGTTAAGTTGGCTACTGGATCTGTGACGTCACCCAGTGCAAGAGATATATTGGAATATCCTGCACAAATGTGCAATGTTTCGCCAGTCCCATTCCAATACTGCGGTATATGTAGCCAGCCCCTGAGCCTCGCCTCGCTAGATCCACTGAATATCTGGTTACTGCCGCCACCAGTACTCCAGTCAACAATAGTGGCGTTAACCACAGATACACCATCTGGATGGTTCCAATCAGCTGGTTGTTGGTATCTGAGGAAGGTGAGGCCGGGTCGCTTGTCTAGTATTTTACATTCGTCTGGCGTTGTGACTTCAGTGCCCGTAGTGCCCCACCAGCCAGGGTTTTCTGATGGTGTATCTTCTCCGCACACACCATAGTTATCTAGAAAAGTGTAATGAAATTATGTGTAATTGTGTTAATAACTAATTAATTGAGCATGACTCAGAAAAAATTGTTAATCCTTTATCAAGCAACCCTACTGTATCAAATTGCCATCGACCTTATTACTTCGCAATAAAGTTGAAAAACATACAAATAAATCCTTACCATCTTTATGATGACACCGAGCATTCTGAACACACCAGTTACACTGATCGAGTCCCAGCTTAGTACTGACGGAAGGTAGAGGCGTGCGACTACTGTTGGCCCCGGGCGACGGCCCGTGGATGAGACAAGAGTGACAGTCGCCCAGCGCGGGACATATACCGCCACATCGGATAGACTGCAGGTTTGTAGTACAGTTAGCTCCTATTCTTCTACCATAGCATGTCTGTAAAAAACAAATATAAAATTTATTTACACATGACAAATATAGTTTGATTATAGACCCCGTGTGGCTTGAAACTAGTCGCGTTACCTCGTAGAATAGTTGTGTAAATAAGTTGTCTAACAATTAATTTAATATGTCTCTGAGTCTCATTATAAACACAATTTAACAAATAAATATCAGATACCGTCGATTCCGGTTGTCTTATAAAAATTTAAAATGGAGAACAAATACTTACGTCGTCAGCCGAGCACCATCCACACTCAGGGTCCGCTAAGCATTCTGGTTGAGATCGATGACGTCGACAGGCCGACTCTGGGTCGCTATTGGTAATGCCCGCCTGCCAACTCGGTACTACATAGGCTAATAAATCTCCTGCAAGCAATAGGAACAAATGATGAAGTCAGGCGGTGTACTAACATTAAAAACAACTGACAACGACAACATAAAATCGCATAAGTTAATCTGCATTTTCTATGCTATTTATAACATCATGCCTTTTATCCCCGAAGGGGTAGGCAGAGGAGAACATTATAGCACTTAATGCCACTGTGCAATGTAACACCCATTTTTCACTATTCGATGTTATGAGTGCAATGTAATAGAGAGTGAGCCCATTGTCATATACCGGGCACAATTCCAGACACTGTGCTACTACTGAGATTTTTTTTAAAACCCAGTAGTACTTTGCCCGACTCGGGAATCGAACCCGAGACTCCTTGCCTGGCAGTCGCACTTGCGACCAAATCAAAAAGTTTAATATTAGACCACATTAATAGGGTAGACGACTAATTTTTATTTTAATGTCCGTCTGGTAGATTATTTTAAATCATTACACACGTATTTTTTATTTTCTGACAGAAACGAATACTTTCCACGATATATTGATTTGAAATGTCGTGTGACGTCACTTTTATGTACATTTTATACGTAGAAATGACGTTTTAGCCCCCACTCCTAAACTTTGATTCGTTTTATCTAAGTATTGTTTTATTATACGTTATTTAAATACCTAACTTACGGACTAATTAGATTTTTAATTTTCATACCCTGTCGTCATCCCAATTACCTTGTGTATAGAATAAGTTGTCCTACATTAAGTATAACTATACTGTACTTAAAACTTTAAGAGCTCCTCTCGCCTGTGATACATGATTTATCTTAGTACAGACATACATATAACTTTGTGAGACCTACAGTTTGTAATTACATATAATTTATGTATTAATGACCATTTTACTCTGAATATTTTTATTAAATTTTTCTACACTCACCGTTAACGTTCCCATGGTAACCACCAGCAATTAACAAAGTAGATGGTGGTCTCAGTGCCGCCGCGTGCGCAAACACGCCTTGCTTCTTCGGATAGAACCGACGCACTTTGCCCAACACGTCCAATGGAATCCAAGAGTGACAGCCCAAGTGGTAGATGTACATTTGACCATCATAACAGATCTCTTCTCTATTGTGACGGTGAGAATAACCACCAAATACCACTAGATAATTTCCTGAAAATATTAAAAAATATACTTTGTTGTAGAATATGCTAAACTCATTTAAATTCCATTTTAATGCTTAAACTGTCAAACACCAAGCGGTCACCGGTGACCGCAACCTATTGTTCTATAATTGTGTCTATAATGACGGTACTCGGCGAGTTAATTACATAAGATATGTGGCTATGTCTTAGAAGGAAAACGGTCATCACTATACAGGATGTGTTAACATATAATTTTGAACATACCAATAATAGTTGACGTATGAAACGCCCTCTCTCGTGGAACATACGTGTCTCGTAAATGAGCGCGAGGATAATGTATTTCACTCCAATGTTTATAATCTATGTCGAAAGCGAACATCCGATCAGAGAGCTTTGAAAACCTGGAAGTCAAAAGAGAAGCTTATACAAACCGATTAATCGATAACATTGAATCGATTCCACTATAATCGACATATTCACTCACCGCGCAACACTGGCAACCACGCCTCCGTACACCAATATCGAATTAGAATGCGTATGATACACAGCAGTATGGGCGACCACTCGAACATCCAATTCCTTACCACCTCTCACTTGTATTCTTTCCCAAGTCTCCGTGTTTACGTCATCAAGTTTTATTTTGTACATACTACGAACAAAGGGAAGGAAAAATGTAGTAAACTGATCAATAAAAAGCAAAAAGAATAAATTATAGTGTTTTATTATTTACCTTGAGGAGAACTCTCCATCCATCGTACTGCCACCAAAGAGGTATAATTCATCTTTGACGGCGGTTAGTGTGTGTCGAGTCAGCCCCGGTGGGGTGAAGGTGGCGTTCACAGCGCGCAGAGTCCAAAGGTTTAATGTGACGTCATACATCCATAGTTCAGAGGACAAGCTTCCATCAGAGAGCTTACCCCCATATAGCACGAAACCAGGACCAAATGCGCAGGCAGAATGCCCATACCTTGGCTCAGGTTTGGTAGTGTTATCCTTCATGACATTACTTACTACCTCTGGTTGCTCAGTAAAATGTAAATAGCTCTCAGAGTATGGTGTTGGTGCATGAGAGTACATGAGCGGTAGAGTTGTCTTATCATGGTTAGAGAATGAAGATAGAAGTAAATTAAACAAAGAGCTCCTGTTGCCTATTTGCCAGCTGCCATCAACATTACCCTGAAATATAAAGTTTAATTACAACATGGGTTAATTAGAACCAAATCGGAATCCAATTGAGATTGGCGCCGTAATTATAAAGATTCGTATTTGACAATTTAGTAAGAGAACATTACAATGTTTTACCTTAGTAAATAAAGTCAACAAAGATTTATCAATTTCCTCATTTGTAGGATATCTGCGTAATACTTTTCCATTTTCATCATACCACTGACTAGTTGAGAACCTATAAACAAATGAATATAGTAAGTTCACAAATCATACAACCATAATACTATTAAAAAAGATAAAAGCTGTGCAATTAATAAACATTTTATTATGTGGCACAGGTCATCAGCTTGACTGTAATAAGTATTAATCGTGGACTATTTAACTTGATTACTCTTGAAGTAAAACAATATGATTTTATAATGATGTCACACAAAATTATTCATTCTGTTGCCCTTGTTATTTCATTTCAAGATTACAGTATAATATTACAATTTACAAGGACCTGTCTGTACTACAAAACTCATCATTAGCATTTCATACATGTTCGCAATACATGTTGGAGTATACATTTGACATTGACATGACATGGGTGTGTAAATACTCAGTTCGACTGACCTGTAAACCTCCAATAAACCAAGAACTTTGTTCAGATCATAACCTCCAAAAACATAAAGAGAGTCTGTGTGGTTGACATAGACTGCAGTATGGGCCGCTCTTTTGGTCATTCCACTTTCTGTATGTGACAACCAGTGCCAACTATTGCCTTCCTTGTCATTCTTCTTGAGAGAACATGATTCACCAGAATACCTGTGTTAATTAGATAAAAGCATCAAGCAGGAAGTTCAATCAAGCCATCAATTTGTCTGTCAGTTTAATCCACAGTGGACTGTTGTTAACAACATCGTTTTTGTTTCAAAATCATGACAATACCATTAATTACCTAATTGAGTAATTAATAAATTGAAATCAATGATAGAGATTTTTTCCTCATAAATATACAGGAAAATCTCTATACAAGATATACATCCATGTCATACATATATACATCATTCTATACAGAAAGAGGATAATTTATTAAGAATGACTTACTTATACAAATTTGTGATGATGAGGAAAAACCTAATTTTAATTTATATTTATACCAAGAAATCCTCGAGTTTACAAAGCCTTGGATCTTGTGATTTATATTCAAAATGGATATTCTATATTTATTATTTATTCTATATTTAGAATTTAGAAAAATAAATACATTAACTAGTTATAACAGATTAGTTTATAAAAGTAAGCAGTCTTGTAACAACATATAGAAATCAACAAATATACCCGTACATAAATATGTTATACAGTTCTGTATGGTAATTTTTTGCTTCCTGACGAATGCACAAACAGATTATTTCCAAAGGTCAAATATTATTTGAAACTTTTGCTTTGTCATTATTGATTATCTTACACTAAGAACTGAGTTCATAATGTATAAAACTTATGTTGTCCCATTCTCAAGTATTTATAACTGAAATAAACTAAACATCACAATATCCATCAAGTAATTTGCATGTACTTGATGTACTAACTGACTGTGCAAACAAAACTGACCAGCTTGACTGTTGACTTAAGACTGATTTTCCTACATAATAATATGTACACTCACATATTGATATTTTTGCTAGCTATACCATGTGGATTCAAATGTAAAAATAATTATACAGATTAAACAATTGTAGTTCTCAGACATTAACATAATCAAACAGATTAATTGAGGATTGAATAACAATATGTTTAGAGATTTCATATAAGAATGTGAAGAATTCTTACCCTTTCTTACATGCACACCTATCTCCCTTACAATGGCCATTGCTTGAGCATCCATTGGGGCATAGTTCCACACTGCAGTCAGGCCCGCCCCAGTTACCCACACAGAAACACTTGTTGGACACACACAGACCCCGGCCCGTGCAGTTGTTGGGACAGTTGTGTATGGCATATGTGGCTCGGAAACCATCCAACACATAATTAGTATCACTATACAGTAATATTAACATCTAGAACAATAGACACAAAGAGATTAATGTTGTAGAGATTATAATCAGTATTGTTTGTTTTTATGTATTTACTGATTTCCATTACTGTATGCAAAGATACTCACATATCCACTAGAGGCGGTAACATTTTGTGGTTCAGTTTTCCCACTGAAACTTCCGAGCAATGGTGCATCAAATGAGTCTCCATCATAAACAAACACATAGTCATAGGAACATTCTGTACCCATACGAATAAAACTTAACGTAATGTACTGGCTTTTATTAGCTGCTTTGATGAGCCACTCACAATGGGAGTCCTAGAACAGAATTCTTATTAGCACTTCACTCACTGCTACTTCATACATTCGTAGATCATGTAACTGACTTGTGTGTAGTTAGAGTTAGTTGGTCCATCGGTGATAATGCCGCTTTGATCCGTGAACACCCTCCGAGTCTTGTCACAAGGCGCCGTAGATGCGGCGCACAGTACAGCCAGGCAAATCCAGCTGATCACAACTAAACCAGCACCTTTCTCCCGCACACTTAGATAAAACATGCCTCTTCCGGATCGCCGTAAGACATAAGTCAAATATCAAAGCCATATAATCTTAAATTTGCGACTAATATAGCTAAAATGTAGAATAAACAACACTCATATAAGTTAATAGGTGACATCTACTTCAAGGCTAACCACTTAGATGAATAATGCCACAGAGGCATGAAAAACTTTTGATATGGACTAATAAAGATATCACTATTGTATGATATTTGCATATAATCCTGGATTTTAGTGGCTGGGAAATACTTTCTAACGAGTTTTTCTTACAAACAAACAATTCACAGATCCATCACAGTATTTTGACATTTGACGTAGAAAATGGTGTTGTCAGACTGATACCAAAGAAAAAGAATATAAAAAGATGAGGAAAGTACAATACGAAGTTATTATTTGAATAAAAGCCTAATAAGAATAGAAGCCAGCAAACTAATATTAATTTTAAACAGTAACAGTATTAATTTTAAACCACCCACAATTTAATAACATTCAGATGGATTAAAAGAAGACCCAAGAAAAGCAACATTTTGATCACACCTGTGTTTTGATAGTTAACAAATATCTATTCACTCCTATTATGTCGGGTAGTACTTAAATTACCACACGTCGATAGTTACACGGAACAAAAAAAACGAAAATATACTAATTGTGTCTGTCGGTCTCCCTTTTGTTTCATTCATAGAGTAAGTGATATGAAAACTGCATAAATAAGAACAAGATATTAATAGTTGGTATGAGGAATATTTATTTGACGTTTATAAATTAATAAAATTACTTCATGAAACGTAGATTTTTGTACTTAATTCGTTACTTAAATAGCAACACTTTTAAAATGGAGTGACCAGACCATCAAACATTGATACTCTAAAAAATGTACAAACATTTTTTAAATCATTTATTTGTGCATATGAAGTATTCAAGTTAGTGGTAATTTCTATAACATTTTTCAGTATTAAATGGAAATCTTACCCAAACCCAACCTTATTTCTATCTGGTAACTTGTGATGGTGGAAGGTGATTGCCCGGCCTTTTTTTAAAATATTGAAAGAGAATAGAAATATTGAAAATAAAAATATTCCTAGCTGTATGCCTACGTTTAGGTGCTCCTTGTGTTTCTCCGCATTATTGTCGCTGTGGAGAAAGAGTCGATGGCTTGGGACACCATGGTCTTTCTTGTTGCAGAAGTGCAGGCCGCATAGCTCGCCATGCCAGCATCAACGACATCATTCGTCGTGCTCTTGCCTCAGCCGGTGTACCAGCCGTATTAGAACCTAATGGTTTGGTACGTGATGATGGCAAAAGACCAGATGGTATGTCGTTGCTGCCTTGGAAGATGGGTAGGCCTTTGGTGTGGGACGCGACTTGTGTAGACACCCTTGCGCCATCACATCTTTTAAGCACCGCTGCATGCGTTGGTGCGGCTGCTTCCGCGGCAGAGGCCCTCAAACGGCGTAAATATTCAAATCTAGTGGGTAACTACTGTTTTGAGCCGTTTGGGGTCGAAACACTTGGGCCATGGGGTCCCAGTGCACACTCTGTGTTTAAAGACATCGCCCGTAGGCTAATCGACTCTACACGTGACCAGAGGGCTGGCTTTTTCTTCGGACAGAAAATAAGCATTGCCATTCAACGTGGCAATGCTGCCAGTCTTCTGGGAACTTTCCCCTGTGATAGTGATGCGGACGAATACTTTGACGCCTAAATTAAGGGTATAATTTTTGTTGTTTTCTTTTACTTTCTTTTTTATTTAATAGTTTAGTTGTAGTTAATTTTAAGTTGTAAATATTTATGTAGTTATATAAATTATGATATTTAAATAAACACTTGAAAGAGTTTGAACCTTATAAATAAATACGTTACCCTTTCTTTTCTTCTTCAAACCCATTGATATTAATGACATTTCTCTCTACTCATTTAGGTAGTTCCAGTATAGAGAAAACCCTCAGTTTGCAGGCATCTCGTAAATAATTTCTGTTTTAAGTAGTTAACTGATCTTAAATTGAGACTATGAGAAGTACCTATTTTAACCTACTATTAAGAAGAAACACTAAGGAAGTAAATATGTAGGTACCTGGGTACCTATCCCTTGCTAATATTGGTAGACATTAAGGTAGGCAGGGTATTGGCATTATTGGGTAGCAAGTAGTACCTAGATAACAACCTCAATGTATGTAAGTGTCTAAGTGAGTATTGGCTTCTATTAAAATCAACACAGCAACTTAACTTGTTCTGTGGACATTGGACATCAACCCTCAAAATTAAAGTATTATGTTTTAAAAACACTTCTTACTTACTGGCTTATGGGAAGAAACTCAGTCTTGTCTGTGGATAACAAACTGTTGATATACAACGCCGTGTTGAAGCCTATCTGGACCTATGGCATAACTTTGTGGAGAACCGCTAGTAAAAGCAACATCATGTGCATCCAACGAGCTCCAAATAGCATTCTGCGTTCCATCACAGGTGCTCCGTGTTTCTCCAGAAACGCGGAAATACACGAATACATCAACGCTCCGACTGTTCAATCGGAAATTAATAATTTCAAGAGGAAATTTGCGGAACGGAAAGGCTTTCGAGGCATCCAAACACTCTCGCCAATGAACTTTCAAAATCGACGCTCACTGTGAACAGGCTGAAGCGGAGGAACGTGCTTTGAAAAGGTAGAAGGTCACTGGTCCCTTCGCCTAATCGCCATAACAACTGCATCAGCTTATAAGTCTTGCGACTGATGTCCGATACAAAGAAAAAAAAACTTCTTACCTTCGAGAATAAATAATAGGTAGTTATTATGTAGGTATTTCTAATTAAAGGTGCTACCACACAGCAGTTTCATAACCTTACAGAATGAGTTTGTTTGTTTTTAAAGAAATGACAACAAATTTGTAGTAGATAGTATCTTGACATGTTTTAAAGTATGTTACAAAATGTCATCATGTTACACAATGCGATATAACGTTACACAACTACTGTGTGGAAGCACTTTAAGATATTATTTTTAATTTCCTCGTCATTTTAACAGTTGCACTTCTCAAATACACAACAGAATTAGAAAATTTACTCGTATTTTTATATTCGTTTAAAAATGTCATTTACACATGGTGTCCACAGGTAACTTAGGTTTTAAAAGTACCAGGATATCATCAATAATAAAAAGCTGGTAGAACAAAAAGCTATTCCATAGGCAGACGGAGATGCGTGCCTATCGATCGGGCGTGATGCTGACTCTGCAATCCTCTCGTGCCGTCGTACTCTGCTACAGATACATATCTATATTTGCTGCATACTTCCTGCTGCTTTGGAATAATCAAAATGAAGGTCACATTGGGAAATATATTTTATTTTAGGTACCTTAGTAGTATGATCTCCTAGTAGATACTGAGCTATTCCTAAGTAAGGCGTTAACTTTCCAATACAGTCTACTACTATACAACTGCCAACCGTCGTGTTTAATTTAATACATACTTATGTCCGATAGGGTCCATGATGATTGGAATATACATAGAGACACTACTAAACCTATGTAGCAATAATAACATTATGAAATGCTATGAAAGTTTGAGTTTGACTCGTAAAGTTACAAAATCCAGTAATAACTTTGCTTGATCAAAGAACACATAACATAACATCACGCCTTTTATCTCCGAAGGGGTAGACAGAGTCCCATGTAATACAGAGTGAGCCTATTGCCATATACCGGACACAATTCCAGACTCCGTGCTACTCTACTGAGAATTTTTTAAAACCCAGTAGTACTTTGCCCGAGCCGGGAATCGAACCCGAGACCCCTTGCCCGACAGTCGCACTTGCGACCACTCGGCCAACGAGGCAGTCAATGACCAAAGAACGTAGTTAGAAAGTCTAGAAAGATTTCACTAAATTGAGCATTTGAGCTTGTAGTCTCCATACTGTTCGGTGTACACTTCGTAATTATGTAAATATAGATGCCGATGACCTATTCATGTCTTGACCGCAGACTTGGCTAAATGTTTAAGTATTTTCGTTGACATTCTCTATCTATGAGAGTCATTAACACTTTCAAATTATCGAACTGTTGGTAGTTAGCTTAAACTCGATTATTTACATACGTACTGTCACTTTTTTAATCCTCGATGAGGTAGGAAGAGCTACATTACATAGTAATTTAATATTCCAGCCTCTTTTAACCTGTGACCACCTTTTTATTTTAACATATAAAAGTTTCTGCATGTAGATTAATTGAAATGATTGTATTTTATGAGTACCCACTATTGCCCATTATTGTTGTTATTGTAATTGTAAACTTTTATTTCATTCGATCCGAAAATTGAACTCGAAACTCCTTTCTTACCAGTGACCATTTGACCAACGAGACTGTCAAACCGATTCTTTAAGAACTTATGTTTTAGCGAACCTCTCTGCTTATTCTTTTATAGATTAATATGCATGGTATATAATGATATGGACTATTACAAGTTTAATAGTTATTCTTTTATACCCTTCTTTGAAATAGATGTCCAACATCATGAACTAGACATAATGTAAATTAGGTTTTAACTTTGTAAATAATTTGTATATTGTCGACTCATTATACAGGCGTGCGCCATATTTATGAAGGTAAAAATTAATAAATCATAAGCGCACGTGAGAGGCGACGAGGGCTGTTGAAGTTTTTTCATCCGGAATGAAGTGATAACCGCTAATGACGCACTCTTACCGCCGACTCATCCGCTACACCATCAAGACTAAATTAAATTATCGCCAGCCGCTAATATTGTGAGCTCTAGAGACTATAGAATGTAGGTACATTAAGAACTTAAATCTATGTATACAAACGACGTAATAATAATTATTAACTGGTTTAGCTGGACAAAAAACGAGTATGGTATGATGTAAAATCGTGCTTACCCATAAAGCATTAGCTTAGACCAGATATGTACAAATCTTTATCCACTGAGAGCACCGTTTTGTGTGTAGTTAACTTTCACCAACTTCTGAAACATAAATGGCACCTAGAAATGCACCTAATAACAAAAACAAATAGCTGTTGAGAAAAATTTTCAATTCACCCTAAATTTTTAGCATGAATTTTCCGTAGAAACAGTATGATGTAGTAAAAAAAATTCTAACTCTGCAAAATGCCTACAGAATAACAAAAATTGTCTTACGTGTATGAGGCAGGTATGTTTAATACTAAGGTGTCAAACCCTTGTTTAAAAAATACAAAATTTCGTAAAAATTGTTCGTGGAAAATTCTAAAAATTTAAAGGTTGTAAATTATTTGCAGTGCGCTTCGCCCTGTCCTTGATAGCCGGTCTTGTGAGCGACTGACCGTGCGTGACGGTCCA